CGTGAAGGTCTGGCGGATCCCCCGTGCACGACAGTAGTCTCGCAGAAGGCGAGAGGAGAACTCTCCGCCTCTGTCCGAGTGCAGACGCAGAACAGGAAAGTCCGAGCCGAAGCTCAACCTGAGCTGGAGACGAGCCTCGCGGATCCAGTCGATCAGCACCTCAGTGACCTCACCCTTGCTGCGCAAGGGGAGGACTGTGGTGTAACGCGAGTAGTCGTCAACCACCAACAGGAAGTAGCGCTCGTAACCCTGCCCACGGACCGGGGCCGGGCCCCACACATCCATGTGAAGCGTCTGCAGGGGAGCCTCTGTCGGGGGGAAGTGGGAGGAGTGAGGAGTAGCCCGGAGGCGACCCTCGACACAGGGGACACAGGAAGGTCCTGGCCCGGAGGGGAGAGGAGGGAGAGACCGGGGAAGACAAGAGACAAGGACACGGGAGGCCATGCTCCGAAGACGGGGCAAGGAGGGGTGGCCAAGACGGTGGTGCCACAGGAGAGTCTCGTGAGACAGGAGGCGACAAGAACAGGGGGCAGACTCAGGACCTGACCGGGACGCAGCAGCAAGCACCTGACCTGACGCAGCTACCTGACCGGACGCAGGGACAGGAGGAGACGAAGTGGTCAGGGTGTAGAGACTCGACCCCGGCCGACGCGAGAAGGTGGCCAGGTGTCGGCCTGTGCGTGCGTCCATGCAGTGGGTCACCCGCTGCCTCGCAGGAGTGAACTGGTGGACCCCCGCATCCTGTAGGGCTGCTCCACTCACCAAGTTCGTAGAGAACGAGGGAAGGTACAGACCAGACAGGGTACCCGAAGGGGCAGCCGGACACGGGAGGACAGTGGAGAAGTGAGACAGGACAGGACCCCCAGAGGGGTCAGCAAGGGAGACCGCAACCGGCCGGCCAAGAGGCGTAAGGGTAGTGCGGTCTCGGAAGAAGGAGCGAGAAGCTCCGGAGTCAAGTGTGAAAGTGAGGGAGGACGAGGGCGACTCAGTACCTGAAAGCGCAGTCTCACCAGTACCTGAGAGCGCAGACGCACTGGCACCTAGAGCAGCAGCCTCACAAGTACCTAGCTCAGCAGTACCAATGCCCGGGTCGGGCTGGAAACACCGGTAACCCTCATTCTCCTCACTATAATCCGCAACATACATAGCCTCAAGGATAGCATCAAAATCAAGATCAAAGATCGCTACACCAGCCCTAAGGAGCTCATCCCAACGAGGGATCTCACTAGCCCCGGGGAACTGCCGACGCCAAGCGTCCGTCAGGCGGCCAAAGCAGCGCTGAGTGGCGTGGGCACCTCCACACTGCTCACCCGCGCGGTCGCCGGAACGAAGAACGTAGGTGCAGGGACCAGTACCCCCACCCCTCTGACGCGCAGCGTACCACTCACGAAGCTGCTGGGGCGGAGGGATGTCCCGCGAGCGCTGCTGCTGCTGCCGCTGCGAGCGCTGGCCACCACCACCGCCGCCGCGCTGCTGGGTACCACCCCGACCAGCTCCGCTCCCTCCACCACCACCTGCTGCTCCGCCGCCGCCCCGCCTCCACCGCCTCCACCTCCGCCGCCTCCACCTCCGCCGCTGCCACCTCCACCGCCGCTGCCACCACCACCACCGTCTCCGCCGCTGGTGCCACCACCACCACCACCACCACTACTCCCGCTGCCACCCCCACTCCCTCCTCCGCCTCCACCGCCACCTCCACCGCCCCCTCCAGCTCCACCCGCGCCCTTGCCCCCCTTGCCCTTGCTAGAGCTACGTCTCCCACTAGGGGCAGACGCCGCGCCGACCGACTCAAGACCAAGCAGGTCGGCAGCAGCAGCAGAGGCAACGGAGGGCAGCAAGGGGGAAGGAGAGCACCCCTCAAAGATGGGGGTGCGAGGGTCACCACGAGAAGCCCCTACAGCAACTATGCTCTTCTCAGCTGAGAGGAGGGCCTTCTCGAGGAGGTCGACGGTGAGAGTGGTGGGACAGACTGCGAGAAAGTGGTCCCTGACTACACGAAGGGAGTCAGGGAGGCGTGTGACTACGTAGTAGAGGGTGATGTACATGGGGGGGGGGTTCTTAGCGCAGAACTCAGCAGGAAGGGCGGCGCGGTAACGAGTGTCACTAGTGCGGAGGTGCGTAACGAGGTCAGCGACAGTGGGAAAGGCAGAGAGGTCAGGAAAGAGGTAGGGAAGCATGAGACGGCTCAGTGCAGCAGTGGCAGGGGAGGAGTAGCGCGCAACTACAGCGTCGTACAAGGTATGAGCACTCTTGTACTGACTAAAGTGCGCGCGCTCAGAGGTAGGGAGGTGGCGACGCACAGCAAGACGTGCAGCAGCATCACAGGTGGCCCACTGAGAGCGAACAGTGGGATCAGCATCAGCAGCAGGAGCAGGAGAGGCGCCAGAGGTGAGGTCAAAGAGGGAAAGGCCGTCAGCTCTGTCGCACTGTAAGAACAGCTGCAGGTCGTCTAGCCAGACCTCAAAATCAATGGCGCGACCCTCGGCGTCAAAGGCTAGGACACTAGGGGTAGCCATGGCGACGACAGCGAAGCAGTGCAAGCAGTAGGGAAAGAGCACGCAGTGACAGTGGGACAGTGCTCACCAGGCAGGGCGGCTCATGCAGCACGACAGAAAAGGGAGCACGGAGACCGGGCTGCTCGGGTGCACAGCGGCTCGGCTCCCGTGCGGCTCGGCTGCAGGGCGGCTCGGGTGCAGGGCGGCTCGGCGGCAGGGCGGCTCGGGTGCAGGGCGGCTCGGCTCCCGTGCGGCTCGGCGGCAGGGCGGCTCGGGTGCAGGGCGGCTCGGCGGCTGCAGTGCAGCTCAGCTGCTGTGTCGTGGCGAGGCCGGGACAGGAGACGGCGAGGCCGTCAGGGCTCAGCGGCGGGCCGGGAAGGTGCAGCGGCGGGGCCGGCAGGTGTAACGGCGGGGCCGGCAGAGCAGGCGGCGGGGCCGCGTCGTAGCGGGCGGCGAGGCCGCGCCTGAGTAGGCGGCTGGGCCGCGTCGAAGTGGGCGGCGGGGCCGCGCCTGAGTAGGCGGCGGGGCCGCGTCGTAGTGGGCGGCGGGGCCGCGGCTGAGCAGGCGGCGGGGCCGCGTCGTAGCGGGCGGCGGGGCCGCGGCAGAGCAGGCGGCGGGGCCGCGTCGTAGCGGGCGGCGGGGCCGCGGCTGAGCAGGCGGCGGGGCCACGTCGTAGCGGGCGGCGGGGCCTGCGGCTGAGCAGGCGGCGGGGCCGCGGCGTAGCAGGCGGCGGGGCCGCGGCAGAGCAGGCGGCGGGGCCGCGCTGTAGCGGGCGGCGGGGCCGCGGCTGAGCAGGCGGCGGGGCCGCGATCGAAATGGGCGGCGGGGCCGCGGCTGAAAAGGCGGCGGGGCCGCGTCAGAAAGGGTGGCGGGGCCGCGTCTGAGGGACAGCGGGGCCGCGAGGGAAATGGCGACCCGAGGGGTCGCTAAAAAATGCGCGCCTCGGGGCGCGCTTCGGTGGGCCCTAAAAAAAAACGGTCCTTAGAAAGGACCCGCTCTATACCATGTGAAACAACTGAACAGGAATGAAATGACTTAGTCAGAGTTGGGTACAAAAGGCAACCCTAGAAAGGCTGTACCCCATATGTGCTACCCCACTATAGCCTACAAACATGCATCAGCTATAGTAATCTGACAGTTTTCACCAGCTGGAATCTTCCACGAACCCAGTTTCTCGGGCAAAGTGCCCATTTTTTAATCCGCCGCACCATGCGGCCTCGAGACCCAGCACCATGCGAGGTATCAGTGAATGGGGGCATTAAACAAAGACTGGTCAATTAAGCCAGCCAATCACATGATCTTGCGATACATCACGGAAGCTGCCTACCATCAATCTACGCCCAATTAGTGCCACCCGAACAGTCAAACAATTTTTTCTCTAGGTGCACTGTAGCTATTGTCCCATTTCGGGGCTGTTTCTAGAATGGCTCGGGGGCCATTTTTTGGGGGCCCATTATGGCCGATAATGGCGATAATGGCAAGAATGCCTGCCGAACTGGGCCCTGGTGTTCTCTTCAGGCCTTGTTCTGCAGGCGCATCAGGCCGCATCAGGCAGGATCCTTCCTTGATACAGTCGATGCTCAACTCATCACAAAGATTTGCTTATCACTATTAGAAAATCAGTCACTCGCGAACGTTTTGCCTGTGTGTGGTGATTGTGCTGTTTTCAGGGTACAGTCACCAAGTCGAGGAGGAAAAACATCTACAGTTCATAAACAACAACAGCTGCCTGTCATCAGAATGGTTTACCTGGTTACGAACTTAAACCCCCAGACTCGTTTCACACGCCAATTTCATTTTACATTTCACATTTTTGCCCGTGGCTACAATCACATTTTTGCCCGTGGCGACAAGGGCGACTGTGGCGAAATGCTTAAAACTCGTTTCACTCACATGCCGCCCTCCTACCTGGTGTTCTTGAAATGAGCACCGACTGTACACGTGGTGGTATCTTCACGCTGTAGCAGCGCTGGTGCGAGGATTCAAGTCAAGTAAAGAAAAAAACTACAACACACCACAACTTGTACAAAGTCGACCTTTGGGCAATCAGATTCGAGAGTTGGACAATCTGATTCGACAGCTGTGCAAAATGACAGGGGTTTGCATAGTCAACACCCCATGTTCAGCAGAATTCGACAACCACGGCAAGAAGGGGGTTATCATGCCACCACTTCCCACTTCCATTGCCAAACATATTTTCCGAAACGTGGCAACCCTTGCAAAACGAAAATGAATGATAAACACACAACTCCTCTCATGTACATGTGTCGCTCGTACATGTCCGCCATGGGTAATCACGAAGCAGACACCCAGATGCCCAACAAATTTTCCTGACAACTGATCCTCACTTTGCCGTCGCCAGAGGATGGCGAGGGCAAAATGAGGCAACTTTCGCCTGTGACTACAGTACAGTGGAGTCTTTTTGGTTGGGGGACTCCCGAAAGGTTCCCCATAGGACCCAAAAAGGACCCATCTCGGCAGTGTTTGGGACCTTCATTTTTTGTAATGGTGGTGCTCGCAACCCCGCACGGAACGTCGGCCATGGCGCCGCGACTTCCGGTCGAGAGTGGCGCCGCGCACCATCCGCACGCTAACAGCGAAGGAGCGCTTTCCGCCTCGGCGGGAAGCGACGGCGCCGGTAGGGCGGAACAGTCGCCGCCGTCGCCGCCAGCGAAAGGGGTCGACGGCGACGCGGCAGCGGCGCTGTCGCCAGCGCTAGTAGCAGCGAGCGGAGATGAGGGCAAGGCGGCGTCGGCGCTGTCGCGGCATTCAATAGCGGACTGGCTAGCGATGGTGCTGTGGATGGGGTGGCTGCACATCGTGCTCGCGCTGTTCGTGCTCATCGCGCTCACGTTCCCACACCCCCTCGCCATCGCGCTGCTGCTGCTTCTCGCCACGCTCGCCGTCACGCCCGTCGACGTCGAGGGGCCCCTCGCCCAGGCCTACCGCAGGTCCGCCTTTCCTCCGCAGTCTCCGTTTCGGTATGTTTGTGCTTCGATTTCTCTTTTGCGAAACCCATTTCGTAATTTCGCCTAGGTCTGGTAGCTTCTTTCTCCCCGCCAAGGCAGATAGAAGGTCGGAAACAGATCACGTCAACTGCTCGTTAACTTGGTCGAAATTGATCAAGGCTAGCCTGGAGGCATGCCGCTCAGGGGCCGCTCGCCCGTCACTGCCTGCTCCCGCGCCACCTGCTCCCGCGCCACCTGCTCCCGCGCTACCTCTGCTCCCGCGCTACCTGTTCCCGCGCCACCTGCTCCCGCGCCACCTGCTCCCGCCACCTGCTCCCGCGCTACCTGCTCCCGCGCTACCTGCTCCCGCGCTACCTGCTCCCGCGCTACCTGCTCCCGCGCTACCTGCTCCCTCGCCATCCAAGGTTCGCCTCCCATCCGTCTCGCTGCGCCCCCCCCACTCGCTCACATCTGCCGGCCCATTTCTGCTGGCACGAACTGCACTCCTCGCTATCTCGCTCCGACACCAATTTTTAAACGAGTCGTTTCCCATGCTGCGTGGTGCGCGCGTGTGTGCGTCGCCCCTCCCCCCCCAAGGTGGCTCTACCCCGTGGTGCTGCGCCACTTCCCCGTGCGCATGCTCTTCCGCGACCAGAGCACGCTCACCTTTTGAGTCGACTCAAAATTCGCCCCTCGCCCTCTCCCCCCCCCCCGCAGGTGGATCTACCCTGTGGTGCTGCGCCACTTCCCCGTGCGCATGCTCTTCCGCGACCAGAGCACGCTCACCTTCGGCAAGCCCTACGGTGCGAACACTAGGGGCGGGGCATGTTAGGGCGTGCATGGTGGGTGGGTGCCTGACGGTTGGGGTCAGTGGATAGACGTGCGCTTGCTCTTGCTCCCCCGTGCACGGCCGCAGCGCCGTCCCCTTCGACAAGCCCTACGGTGCGAACACTAGGGGCGGGGCATGTTAGGGCGTGCACGGTGGGTGGGTGCCTGACGGTTGGGGTCAGTGATAGACGTGCGCTTGCTCTTGCTCCCCCGTGCACGGCCGCAGCGCCGTCCCCTTCGACAAGCCCTACGGTGCGAACACTAGGGGCGGGGCATGTTAGGGCGTGCACGGTGGGTGGGTGCCTGACGGTTGGGGTCAGTGGATAGACGTGCGCTTGCTCTTGCTCCCCCGTGCACGGCCGCAGCGCCGTCCCCTTCGACAAGCCCTACGGTGCGAACACTAGGGGCGGGGCATGTTAGGGCGTGCACGGTGGGTGGGTGCCTGACGGTTGGGGTCAGTGGATAGACGTGCGCTTGCTCTTGCTCCCCCGTGCACGGCCGCAGCGCCGTCCCCTTCGACAAGCCCTACGGTGCGAGCGACTACCTACGGAAGACGGGATGGGCCGTGTTGGCGGGTGCACGGGTGGTGGGTGGTTGCCCCGTGGTGGGTGGGAGGGAGGGAATGGATGGGCATGCGCTTGGCTCTCTAGCTTACGCGCATGTGCATGTGTCGAGGCGTATGTTTCATGTTCTTATGCTGGTCTAGAAAAGGGAGCGGGGATGGAAGGCTGGAGCAGGAACAGAGAAAAGAGATGCAGGGAGAGGGAAAGAGTATTGCACACAGTGTCCAAGGGTGTCCAATCAGTGCGGTCAGCTCTCACATCCCACTCCTTTGCTACTCCCCTGCCTCCTCTCCTTTTTCCATGTGACTTTTGAGTCGACTCGAGAGTATTGCACACAGTGTCCAAGGGTGTCCAATCAGTGCGGCCATCTCTCACATCCCACTTTTTGAGTCGACTCAAAAGCCAAGGGTGTCCAATCAGTGCGGCCATCTCTCACATCCCACTTTTGAGTCGACTCAAAAGCCAAGGGTGTCCAATCAGTGCGGCCATCTCTCACATCCCACTTTTGAGTCGACTCAAAAGCCAAGGGTGTCCAATCAGTGCGGCCATCTCTCACATCCCACTTTTGAGTCGACTCAAAAGCCAAGGGTGTCCAATCAGTGCGGCCATCTCTCACATCCCACTTTTGAGTCGACTCAAAAGCCAAGGGTGTCCAATCAGTGCGGCCATCTCTCACATCCCACTTTTGAGTCGACTCAAAAGCAAAGGGTGTCCAATCAGTGCGGCCATCTCTCACATCCCACTTTTGAGTCGACTCAAAAGCCAAGGGTGTCCAATCAGTGCGGCCATCTCTCACATCCCACTTTTGAGTCGACTCAAAAGCCAAGGGTGTCCAATCAGTGCGGCCATCTCTCACATCCCACTTTTGAGTCGACTCAAAAGCCAAGGGTGTCCAATCAGTGCGGCCATCTCTCACATCCCACTTTTGAGTCGACTCAAAAGCCAAGGGTGTCCAATCAGTGCGGCCATCTCTCACATCCCACTTTTGAGTCGACTCAAAAGCAAAGGGTGTCCAATCAGTGCGGCCATCTCTCACATCCCACTTTTGAGTCGACTCAAAAGCCAAGGGTGTCCAATCAGTGCGGCCATCTCTCACATCCCACTTTTGAGTCGACTCAAAAGCCAAGGGTGTCCAATCAGTGCGGCCATCTCTCACATCCCACTTTTGAGTCGACTCAAAAGCCAAGGGTGTCCAATCAGTGCGGCCATCTCTCACATCCCACTCCTTTGCTACTCCCCTGCCTCCTCTCCTTTTTCCATCCCTCCCAATTTCCCCTCCCCTCTTTCCTTCCCCACTTCTCCTCCCCCCTTCCCCTCCCCCCTTCTCCTCCCCCGTTCCCCTCCTCCCTTTCCCTTCCCTCTTCCCCTCCCCTTTCTCCTCCCCTTCTCTTCTCCCATTTCCCTCCCCATCCCCTCCCCCCGTCCCGTCCTCTCGTCCCCCCCCCCCCCCCCCCCCCTGCAGTGATAGCATTGGAGCCGCACTCGTTTTTGAGAATTCTCAAAAACCAATTCCCCTCGTTCTCCCCCCCCCCTGCAGTGATAGCATTGGAGCCGCACTCGGTGCTGCCGGTGTCACTGGCCGCGTTCATGTGACTTTTGAGTCGACTCAAAAGTCATCCCCTCCCCCCGTCCTGTCCTCTCGTTCTCCCCCCCCCCCGGCAGTGATAGCACTGGAGCCGCACTCGCTGCTGCCGGTGTCAATGGCCGCGTTCATGTGCCACCCGCTGGGGGGGGGCGGCGTGGCAGGCGCCACGAGCGCCATCTTCCGCGTGCCGCTGCTGCGCCAGTTCGGGCAGTGGGGGCGCCTCGCCCCCGCCACGCGCGCCGTGCTCTCTGCCGTGCTGCAGCGCGGCCGCCCCGTGATCATCGTGCCGGGCGGCGTGCAGGAGTGCCTCTTCATGGCTCCCGGCAAGGAGGTGCGCGCGCGCCTCCCGAGTGGGTGTCGCTGGGATGGGGTGGTGGGGTGGGGTGGGGTGGGGTGGGGTGTGGCAGGATGGGGTGTGACGGGGTGGGGTGGGGTGGAATGGGGTGTTGCGGGATGGGGTGTGGTGGAATGGGTTGTGTGGAGGGATGGGGCGTGTGAATGCGCGTACACAGGGGAAAGTGCATGTAGGGTGCGATACTCGTTTGTCTTGCTGCGTCATGCAAAAACCCCATCCCCCCATTTCGGCTCCTCCCTCCCCCCTACTCCAATGGTCCAACCCTTTCCTGCACCCTACACTCTTTTTCCTTGTCACCTTCCTCACCCCTTCCCTCATACTGTCATGACCCCCTCCCAATATCTTTCTCGTGCGTGTCTTCACGTCCCTCTCCCCTCCCTCCTGTGCCATCTTCCCGGTCCCTCCACACCCACCCACCCACCCCCCTGCCCCCCCACTTCCTCCTCCCCCCGCCCCACACCCCCCCCCCAGGTGGTGTTCATCCGCCAGCTCTTGGGCTTCATCCGCCTGGCGCTTTTGGGTCGACTCAAAGGTCTCCCCCCGCCTCACCTCCCCCGCCCCACACCCCCCGCCCCACAACCCCCGCCCCACAAACCCCCCCCCCCCCCCCCCCCCCCCCCCCCCCGCAGGTGGTGTTCGTCCGCCAGCGCTTGGGCTTCATCCGCCTCGCGCTGCAGCACGAGTCGACTCAAAAGTCCACTACCACCCACCCCCCTGCCCCCCCACTTCCTCCTCCCCCGCGCCACACCCCCCCCCCCAGGTGGTGTTCGTGCGCCAGCGCTTGGGCTTCATCCGCCTGGCGCTTTTGGGTCGACTCAAAGGTCTCCCCCCGCCTCACCTCCCCCCGCCGCCCCGCAACCCCACCCACCCACCACCCCCCAGGTGGTGTTCGTGCGCCAGCGCTTGGGCTTCATCCACCTGGCGCTTTTGAGTCGACTCAAAAGTCCACTACCTCCCACCCCCCTGCCCCCCCACTTCCTCCTCCCCCGCGCCACACCCCCCCCCAGGTGGTGTTCGTGCGCCAGCGCTTGGGCTTCATCCGCCTCGCGCTGCAGCACGGCGTGCCCGTGCTGCCCTGCTTCGCTTTCGGCCAGGTGGGGGGGGGGTGGGGGGCTCCGGGGGGTGGGGGGCTCCGGGGGGTGGGGGGCTCCGGGGGGTGGGCGTGCCCGTGCTGCCCTGCTTCGCTTTCGGCCAGGTGCAACGGGCAGTGCCCAGGGGACGCGGGGGGCGGGGGGCGAGGGGCGGGCTCCGGGGGGAGGGGGGCGGGGGGCTGGTAGTGGGGGGACGGGGGGCTGGTAGTGGGGGACGGGGGGGGCTGGTAGTGGGGGACGGGGGGCTGGTAGTGGGGGACGGGTGGCTGGGCGGTGGGCGGTGGGAAGTGGGCAGTCGGCTTTGTTCCTTTGCACTGCTGAAGCAAACTCTCTCTCGTCCTCCACCCTCTACCTTCCTTCTCATTCCTCGCTCGCTGCTCAGTGCTCACCTCGCCTCTTCCCGCCCTGCCAAAGCGAGCTTGTCTGCTCCACTCATTCTCCTTTTGAGTCGACTCAAAAGCAGACTCATTACACACAAGTGCTCACCTCGCCTCTGCCCGCCCTGCCAAAGCGAGCTTGTCTGCTCCACTCATTCTCCTTTTGAGTCGACTCAAAAGCAGACTCATTACACGCGAGTGCTCACCTCGCCTCTGCCCGCCCTGCCAAAGCGAGCATGTCTGCTCCACTCATTCTCCTTTTGAGTCGACTCAAAAGCAGACTCATTACACGCGAGTGCTCACCTCGCCTCTGCCCGCCCTGCCAAAGCGAGCTTGTCTGCTCCACTCATTCTCCTTTTGAGTCGACTCAAAAGCAGACTCATTACACGCGAGTGCTCACCTCGCCTCTGCCCGCCCTGCCAAAGCGAGCTTGTCTGCTCCACTCATTCTCCTTTTGAGTCAACTGAAAAGCAGACTCATTACACACGAGTGCTCACCTCGCCTCTGCCCGCCCTGCCAAAGCGAGCTTGTTTGCTCCACTCATTCTCCTCTTGAGTCGACTCGAAAGCAGACTCATTACATGCGAGTGCTCACCTCGCCTCTGCCCGCCCTGCCAAAGCGAGCTTGTCTGCTCCACTCATTCTCCTTTTGAGTCGACTCAAAAGCAGACTCATGTGCTCACCTCGCCTCTGCCCGCCCTGCCAAAGCGAGCTTGTCTGCTCCACTCATTCTCCTTTTGAGTCGACTCAAAAGCAGACTCATTACACGCGAGTGCTCACCTCGCCTCTGCCCGCCCTGCCAAAGCGAGCTTGTCTGCTCCACTCATTCTCCTTTTGAGTCGACTCAAAAGCAGACTCATTACACGAGAGTGCTCACCTCGCCTCTGCCCGCCCTGCCAAAGCGAGCTTGTCTGCTCCACTCATTCTCCTTTTGAGTCGACTCAAAAGCAGACTCATTACACGCGAGTGCTCACCTCGCCTCTGCCCGCCCTGCCAAAGCGAGCTTGTCTGCTCCACTCATTCTCCTTTTGAGTCGACTCAAAAGCAGACTCATGTGCTCACCTCGCCTCTGCCCGCCCTGCCAAAGCGAGCTTGTCTGCTCCACTCATTCTCCTTTTGAGTCGACTCAAAAGCAGACTCATTACACGAGAGTGCTCACCTCGCCTCTGCCCGCCCTGCCAAAGCGAGCTTGTCTGCTCCACTCATTCTCCTTTTGAGTCGACTCAAAAGCAGACTCATTACACGCGAGTGCTCACCTCGCCTCTGCCCGCCCTGCCAAAGCGAGCTTGTCTGCTCCACTCATTCTCCTTTTGAGTCGACTCAAAAGCAGACTCATTACACGCGAGTGCTCACCTCGCCTCTGCCCGCCTTGCCAAAGCGAGCTTGTCTGCTCCACTCATTCTCCTCTTGAGTCGACTCGAAAGCAGACTCATTACACGCGAGTGCTCACCTCGCCTCTGCCCGCCCTGCCAAAGCGAGCTTGTCTGCTCCACTCATTCTCCTTTTGAGTCGACTCAAAAGCAGACTCATTACACGCGAGTGCTCACCTCGCCTCTGCCCGCCCTGCCAAAGCGAGCTTGTCTGCTCCACTCATTCTCCTTTTGCATCGACTCAAAAGCAGACTCATTACACGCGAGTGCTCACCTCGCCTCTGCCCGCCCTGCCAAAGCGAGCATGTCTGCTCCACTCATTCTCCTTTTGAGTCGACTCAAAAGCAGACTCATTACACGAGAGTGCTCACCTCGCCTCTGCCCGCCCTGCCAAAGCGAGCTTGTCTGCTCCACTCATTCTCCTTTTGAGTCGACTCAAAAGCAGACTCATTACACGCGAGTGCTCACCTCGCCTCTGCCCGCCCTGCCAAAGCGAGCTTGTCTGCTCCACTCATTCTCCTCTTTCCATCTCTCTCCCCGCTCTTGGCTTCCACGCTTCCCCCATTGTCGTCCGTGCCTCGCCCTGCACTCCCCACCCCACACACCGGAGCACATCCCTTCCCGGGTGGAGGCACGCACACCGTCGCGCTCCACAGCGCTCCAACCCTCACTTCTCCTCCAGTCCAGTCCCTCATGGCTCCCCTTCCTCCCACCTTCCTCCCCTTTTCTCTCTCCATCCCTCCCCTCATGCCCCTCACTCGCCTCGCCTCGGCCCTGCCAGTGCAAGCTAGTTCTCCTCTCTTTCTCCTCCCGTTCTCCTCTTTCCATCCCGTTCCCTCTCGTGCCATGGTGCCATGCTGCACACGCACGCACCTCTACTCTCACTTCCCTCATCTATCCTCCAGCAGCTCATGCTCCACATCATCCCAACCTCCTTCCTTTCCCTCCCCCCTCCCTTCTCTTCCCCCCCCTCCCTTCCCCTCCCCCCTCTCCCCCCTCTTCCCTTCCCCCCATCCCTCGGACCTGTGCATACCCTCTCCCATCCTCCTCCCCCCTCTTGTCTTCCACACTTCCCCCCCTCTCGTCCATCCCTCTCCTCGCCCTCCCCTCACACCAGAGCACTCAGTGGGGGGAGGGGAGCCATGGCACCACGCTGCCAGCGCTCCAACCGTCGCTTCTCCTCCAGCCCCTTATGCCTCCTCTTCCTCCCATTTCACCCCCGCCTTCCCCTTCTCTCTCTTCGCCCTGTCCTCGCCCCCACACCCCCGTTCCCCCCATCCCTCAGACTAGTGCATACCGCTGGTGGAGGCCAGAGGGGGAGTGGTTCCGGTGGGTGGCGCGGAGAATAGGGTTTGCGCCGATGCTCTTCTGGGGCATGTGGGGGTCTCCCATCCCCTTCCGCACTCCCCTCACCATCGTCATCGGCACACCCATCGGACAGGGTGACCCTGACCCCAACCCCTCGAAAGAAAGGGTGAGTTTCAACGCATGTGAGGCACTGCTGTATGAAAGTGGTGAAGTGGCTCGGAGTGTGATAGTTGTGTTTCGCTGGTGTAAGACGGATGCTGTGGGAACGTGCACCGAGGGGTTCATTGATTGGCGTGTCATGCATGCCTGCATGCCTGTGTGCCTGCATGCCTGCATGCCTGCATGCCTGCATGCCTGCGTGCCTGCATGCCTGCGTGCCTGCATGCCTGCATGCCTGCGTGCCTGCATGCCTGCATGCCTGCGTGCCTGCATGCCTGCATGCCTGCATGCCTGCATGCCTGCGTGCCTGCATGCCTGCGTGCCTGCATGCCTGCGTGCCTGCATGCCTACATGCCTGCGTGCCTGCATGCCTGCGTGCCTGCATGCCTGCATGCCTGCATGCCTGCATGCCTGCGTGCCTGCATGCCTTCATGCCTGCATGCCTGCATGCCTGCATGCCTGCGTGCCTGCATGCCTGCATGCCTGCATGCCTGCGTGCCTGCATGCCTGCATGCCTGCATGCCTGCATGCCTGCATGCCTGCGTGCCTGCATGCCTGCGTGCCTGCATGCCTGCATGCCTGCATGCCTGCATGCCTGCATGCCTGCGTGCCTGCATGCCTGCATGCCTGCATGCCTGTGTGCCTGCATGCCTGCAGGCCTGTGTGCCTGCGTGCCTGCATGCCTGCATGCCTGCATGCCTGCATGCCTGCGTGCCTGCATGCCTGCATGCCTGCATGCCTGCATGCCTGCATGCCTGCGTGCCTGCATGCCTGCGTGCCTGCATGCCTGCATGCCTGCATGCCTGCATGCCTGCGTGCCTGCATGCCTGCATGCCTGCATGCCTGCGTGCCTGCATGCCTGCATGCCTGCATGCCTGCGTGCGTGCCTGCATGCCTGCATGCCTGCATGCCTGCGTGCCTGCATGCCTGCATGCCTGCATGCCTGCATGCCTGCGTGCCTGCATGCCTGCGTGCGTGCCTGCATGCCTGCATGCCTGCATGCCTGCGTGCGTGCCTGCATGCCTGCATGCCTGCATGCCTGCGTGCCTGCGTGCCTGCATGCCTGCATGCCTGCATGCCTGCATGTCTGTTCTTGTTGGCAAGCTGTCTTTTTTCTCTGATCACTGTCCTTCCTTGCATGCCTGCATGGGTGCATGCATTTCCCTTCTTCTCATCCCTCTGTGACGTGCCATGTCATTCACGCATCCATGCCATGCCATGTCATCCCATGGCCCTCGTGTCATGCCATCCCATGCCACGCCAGATCCAGACATGGCTCAGTGAGCTGTGTGCGTGCAGTAGGCTTAAAAGCAAGTAGGCTTAAAAACAGCAGTAGATTTCCGCTCTGCGTACAACTAAGTGCTCAAAACGATCTCACAACCCAAATTCTTAGCAGTGCATGCGGAGCACGTGACGGCCTTCATGTCCGCCCGTGTCCTCGTCTCTCTGTATCCCCCCATCCCATACAATACCATGCCATCCCATTCCATGCCACGCCATTCCCCCCATGCAAATGGCAGCAGTGCATGCGGAGCACGTGACGGCCTTCATGTCCGCCCGTGTCCTCGTCTCTCTGTATCCCCCCATCCCATACAATACCATGCCATCCCATTCCATGCCACGCCATTCCCCCGATGCAAATGGCAGCAGTGCATGCGGAGCACGTGACGGCCTTCATGTCCGCCCGTGTCCTCGTCTCTCTGTATCCCCCCATCCCATGCAATACCATGCCATCCCATTCCATGCCACGCCACTGCCACCATGCAGGTGGCAGCAGTGCATGCGGAGTACGTGAGGGCGTTGGAGCGACTCTTCCTAGACTACCGCGCCCAGGCGGGCTACCCCACCACAGAGCTGGAGATCATGTAATGCCATTGCTGCTGTGCAGGCCATATGGGGCCACGGCACAACCCAAGGCACATGAAGCGCTGTGCTGGTGCTTATGTGCTCACGGCTCATGAGGCTTCACCTTATGCTCCTGTGTGCTGCTGTCACCAGCCAGCCACCCACTGCAGTGGTCCCTCTTGGCACATCACACCACGCACACAGCCAGGATTCCCACTGCCAGCAGCTCCTATCACAACTTGCTCCATTGGAAAATGGCTCATCTCATCCACTAGGCTATGCGAGGACTCCCCAGATTCCCATCACCGGTGCACAGCTCTCCAACCAGCTATGCCATGCCTGCAAGTGGAAACTAGTTAGCCATGTTCGGTATGGGCTTCCGTTGTCTGGCAAGTTGGAAACCTAAGTACGTGTTTGCACTTGCAGCTGCACTAAAATGAAACCTCGCCACTGCAAGTGCCCTTGGTACCGTAAGCCCCCCGGATAGAAGCGCAGGCCTCGGATAAGCGCCGGCGCTTATTAAAGGATGAAAATAAATTACAACTATAGTGCAGCTTGTATGCACCTCTATAGTGTATAAGGCTTTATATATATAACAAGACTCGACGTTAACGTCGGAAGGGTTGCGTAGATGTTACATTCCTTATTGACAAGAAGAAAAAAAAAAGAGGAAATGCAGTTTCTATTTCTTATTTAGCGCCAAATTTTGGTCTACCGTATTAAGGAATACGGCAAGCACTTCGTGATGGTGCAATGTATTCGTTTCAGCGTGGATCTCTATGATTTTTTTTAAACATTGATGTTTCTATTACGTTAAGGTCTAGACACATTGATCGTTTTTTATATAGTGAACAATGATGTTCTCTTTCCTTAAAGATGATGCTTTGTATTGTTACACTGCACATTTTGTAGTGAGTTGTTTTTAGCCCAGTCAATCTCACGTGATTGTGCGTGTGTTTTCACGTGAAATCCCACCCCACCTGTTGCCTCTCCCTCCCACCCACCCACCCACCCACCTCGTCATAGCCTCTACCTCCACCCCACCATCTTTTCTTTCCCACCACGCCGTCCTCTCCCCCTCCCACTCGCCGTCGCCTCCCACCTGCCGTCGCCTCTCCTTCCCACCCGCCGTCGCCGCTCCCTCCTCCCGCCGCCGCCGCTCCCTCCTCCCGCCGTCGCCGCTCCCTCCTCCCGCCGTCGCCGCTCCCTCCTCCCGCCGTCGCCGCTCCCTCCTCCCGCTGTCGCCGCTCCCTCCTCCCGCCATCGCCGCTCCCTCCCACCCCGCCGTCGTCGCCTCCCCCGCTCGTCCCACCGTCGCCGCTGACAGCAGCTGCACGAGCGCGAGCTGGTGGGCGAGCGCGGATCGACCCCTGAGGCACCGTAATTTTCAGGTGCGTTGTCCTTTTCCGGTCCATTTCTCCTCCTCCTCTCGAAGAAATTCATTTACTTTGGTAAGTTTTTTATGTGTCAATTGATCTCCTTTTGCATTGCAATACCAATTGAAGAGAGGGAGAGAGGGAGAGCGAGTGAGAGAATTCGCACGCGATCGAGCACGCTGGCGCCTAGTGCGCTGGTGCCTAAAGCCTTGGCGCTGTGCGCGCTGGCGCCGTTCGCGCTGGCGCCTTGCGCACTGGCGTCTTGCGCGCTGGCGTCTTGCGCGCTGGCGCCTTGCGCGCTGGCGCCTAACGCGCTGGCGCCTTGCGCGCTGGCGCCTAACGCACTGGCGCCTATCGCGCTGGCGTCTTGCGCGCTGGCGTCTTGCACGCTGGCGCCTTGCGCGCTGGCGCCTTGCGCACTGGCGCCTTGCGCGCTGGCGCTTAACGCGCTGGCGCCTTGCGCGCTGGCGCCGTGCGCGCTGGCGCCTTGAGCGCTGGCGCCTAACGCGCTGGCGCCTTGCGCGCTGGTGCCGTGCGCGCTGGCGCCGTGCGCGCTGGCGCCGTGCGCGCTGGCGCCGTGTGCGCTGGCGCCGTGCGGGCTGGCGCCTTGCGCGCTGGCGCCTGCGCGCTGGCGCCGTGCGCTCTGGCACCTAACGCGCTGGCGCCTAAAGCGCTGGCGCCTTGCGCGCTGACGCCTAGTGCGCTGGTGACTTGCGCCAAGGCGCCTAACGCGCTGGCGACTAGCGCTCTGGCGCCAGGGGGCCGCGTGAGAGGCCATGTGAGAGAGTGCGTGAAAGTGCGCGTGTTAGTGAGTGTGAGAGTGCGCACGCGAGAGAGCGCGTGGGGGAGAGTGTGAGAGTGCGCATGTGAGTTTGCGTGAGAGTGCGCGCGTGAGAGAGCGCGTGAGAGCGCGTGCGTGAGGGAGCGTGTGAGAGTGCGCGTGAGGGAGCGTGTGAGAGTGCGCGTGAAAGTGCTCGTGAGAGTGCGCGTGAGAGTGCGCGCATGAGAGTGCGTGAGTGTGCGCGTGAGAGCGCACATGAGCGAGCGTGTGAGGAAGCGTGTGAGAGAGCGTGTAAGAGTGCGCGCGTGAGTGAGCGCATGAGATAGTGTGTGAGAGTGCGCGTGAGAGAGCGCGTGAGAGAGCGCGTGAGAGTGCGCGTGAGAGTGTGCGTGAGAGTGCGTGTGAGAGAGCGTGTAAGAGTGCGCGCGTGAGTGAGCGCGTGAGATAGTGTGTGAGAGAGCGCGTGAGAGTGCGCGTAAGAGTGCGCGCGAGAGAGCGCGTGACAGTGCGTGTGCGCGTGAGAGTGCACGTGAGAGGTGAGAGGGCAGGTGAGGGAGCGCGTGAGAGGCCGCGTGGGAGGCAGGTGAGGAAGCGCGTGAGAAAGCGCGTGAGAGGGCAGGTGAGAGTGAGCGTGAGTAAGCGCTCGAGAGACGCGTGAGGGAGCGAGTGGGAGAGGGCGTGAGAGTGCGCGTGAGAGTGCGCGTGAGAGTGCGCATGAAAGAGCACGTGAGAGAGCATGGAGAGAGCGCGTGAAAGTGCGCGTGAGAGTGCGAGAGGGAGTGTGCGAGAGAGAGCGTGTGAGAGAGCACGTGAGAGGGCATGTAGGTTTGTGTGTTTGTTTCTGAGAGAGTGTTGAAGAGTATCTGTGTATCTGTGTGTGAGTGGGTGCAAGATTGAGTACAAGAGTGAGTGCGAGCGTGATTGTGAAGTTGAACGTGAGGGTGGCTGCAATGTATTGCATCATGTTGGCGTAGTACTGTGGTACCACACCATTTTACCTCTGTGAGTTGTCAAATTTCCTGCTTGGCCTCCTCGCAGGGAAGCATTATGCGTTTTATACAGTGTGTGAACATTCTTTGTTTTTGCCTTTTTTCTTGTGCAGGGCGCGTGCTTTGCATTCTCTCTTTTTGCTATGTGCAGGGCGCGTGTGCTGCATTCGTTAATTTTGTTTGGCAGAGAAGGGAGATGAGGGATGGGGTGGGAGGGAGATGAGGGAGGGGGTGTGAGGGAGATGAGGGAGGGAGGGAGGGAGGGAGGGAGACAGGAGAGGAAAGGAGGGAGGGAGGGAGGGAGGGAGGGAGGGAGGGAGGGAGGAGGGAGGGAGGGAGGGAGAGAGGGAGGGAGGGAAGGAAGGAGGGAGGGAGGGAGGGAGGGAGGGGAGTGATACTTTATACAAGGCTGAACTTCATTCATTATTCTTGCATGCTTATTACCGTAGTTGTATGTTTTTGCGTTGTGTGTATGTGTGAGCCTGTGTGTGTGGGTGGTATGTGTTGTGTGTGTTTCAGGGTGTGGTACTAAGTGCCTCGTGAATGCAACTCGGATTGTGATCGTCGGTGGGGCAGCTTTGCTAGCCTCTTCCGTACCATATCAATCCCAGTTGCAGCATTGATGCATTTAGTATTCGCCTTGAAACATTCTCTCAATCGTTGTCCGTCCTTTGTTTTTGTACCAGCTTGTATGTTATCGTCTGTGCTTGTTTTGGGTTGTGGTGCAAAGTGCCTCGTGTATGCAACTGGGGTTGTGATCGTTGGTGGGTCAGCTTTGCTTGCCTCTTCCGTACCATATCAATCTCAGCTGCTGCATTGATGCACTTTGTATTCCCCTCAAAACATGTACGACGGTTTTTGTACACGTTCGTTTTTGTGGTCATTTGTGCATGTGTGCCTTTCGGTTCCTGTGTCATTTGGTGTTAGCATTAGTGCTAGAAAGATTGTCCAATTATTCCATTCGCCATACTTATCGACGATTATGGATGATTGGACACATTTGGTTTCACATAGGGTAACTTGCGTGAACAGTGTTCTCTTCCAGAATTTTGGAGGGAGAAAACACTGTTCACGTCAGTTCCCCGAAAAGTGAAACCAAATGTATAAGGTTGCTACGCAACCCAAAAAGAAGTTATGGAGTTGTGTGGTTGGGCCCAAAATTCAACTCAACCTTGCTGTAGTACTTGCAGACTGTAGCCGCTACAGTTGAAACGAGGCGGAAGATTTTTCCGCGCCAAACGTGATTCAAGGGCGGGAAATTTTCCACCCCTGATTTGTCCGGTCCGGGGCCCCAAAACGAATCGACAGCCTTGATCCTGCCTGATGCGTGCCGCAAGCACGCGGAAGCGATCCCGCATTGGAACGTCGCGTAGGGTTTCCGTTGCGATCGCATCAGGTGTGTTGGCAGAATTGTCATGCCTTGCACTGTTTCCGCCTTTTCATATTTTTCTGCCCTACTTTCGGGGTTTTTTGTTAATATCCTAGGTATGGGGGCTATGAATGACGTCAAATGCTGGACGCAAATGCTGGACGCTGGAAATTTTAATCGGGCGAGTGTAGGGTAATTTCCTGTTGTAGAAAGCATGTTTGCTGTTGCGCATCTTATTGCGTAGCTTTCGGGAGTCAGTAACTTAATTTGGCGTGAGCGTATGATCATCGACACAACCCTCGGTAAAAAATATATAAAGGGTGCATACCCCTTTGCACAAGTGGGGGTTGAAGATAGACCGAAAGAAACGACGATGGTTAGGTGTAGATGCAATGGCATCTTGAGCCCCTTCGTGCCGTGGTTGTCGATTTCTGCTCAACATGGGGCGTTGACTACAGCTGTCGATCCGATTGTCCAACTGTCAAATCTGATTGCCCAAAGGTCGACACTGTACAAGTTGTGGTGTGTTGTCGCTTTTTTTCTTTACTTGGCTTGAATACTCGCACCAGCGCTGATACTGTACAGCGTGAAGATACCACCACGTGTACACCCTGTTTCTCGATGTTCTGACAATCGGGAGCCCAGGCTACAGTGCGAACGTGCGCTTGGATTTTGCGGGCTGGTGCTTGCAGCCGAACCCCAGGTAGGTGGCGGGCTATTGCTGTGAAATTGAACGATACAGGACGGTTCATGACATAAACATTGCTAAAGCGTACGGTTCTGGGACCATTTTGGACGCGTTGATGTCAGAATAAATGGCCTGTAAATACAGAGAATGTCAGTGTGGCGCGAAACACGATGTATCAAAGGAGGATCCTGCCTGATGCGGCCTGATGCGGCCTGATGCGCCTGCAGAACAAGGCATGAAGAGAACACCAGTGCTGATCACGGCGATTGGAATGTCGCGTAGGGTTTCCGTTCGCGCCAGGTGTGCTGGCAGAATTGTCGTGTAGCAGAATTTCAGCACGTTTCTCGTCAGGTGTTCCACTGCCATGCCTTGTTTCTCCCTTCTCACAATTCTCGCGACCCCGATCAGCAGGGGTTTCTCTGCCGTCCCACACTTTCCCAACCAGCTGCTCACCTCTTCAAGAGTTGTATCATATCATTCCAAAAATGTACAAACGAATGTTCCCAGGCTGTCTGAAATCCCGTACAGTATGTGGCTGTCGCGGCAGCCAAAGTGATGCGAAATTTGATTGGTGCCGAGCCTTCCTCCGAAGCTGGATGGGTATCAGTGAGGTAACCCAATGAACAAATCGGCCTTCTGATTGGTCGATTGTATATCCTACGAGAGTTGCTGAACGTTGCAACTGCTTAAAGGTAAGGACGTGGGTCCAATCGACTTTGATCGGCGCGATCGGATCGGGTTGGATCGGATCGAATTGCTTCTGATCGTTTTTCCCGCGCCGCCCGATCAGAGATGATTTTCCTCGAATGTTTCGCGCTCTTGCATGAAAACTCTCTGCCCATTACCTGGTAGTTGCAGGCCATTTTTGGCGAGACTGTCGAATCTCAATATTGTGGTAATGTCGCAAACATCGCTGGTCTGGGTGTATTCGCAAGGATTTTCGAGACCCCATGGCAAGGCGTGTTACATTTCGCGTGATTCGCCCAGGTCCCCGATCACATGCAATCAAGTGATTGGGTCTGATTGTGTCTGATCGGGTCTGATCGGGCTGTTTGAGGCGGTTGATCGAGTTGGAGCGATCAGCTGATCGCGATCAGTTGATTGCCCCCGATTGCCTAAAATCTGCTTCCCGCCTTCTTCGAAACTATTGATCGCCTCTGATCGCGCCGATCAAAGTCGATTGGGCCCACTTCCTAAGCTCGGGGGCACTTGCTGGGGAAGTTGTGGGTTTACCCCGCGAGAGTGACCTGGGTGTTCGTCTAAAAAATTTGGGGTTGGCCCAACTCGCCTCAAATGCACGTTACTGTCAACTAACGTTCCACATCTTCGCCTCAACTTGCCTGCTTGTAGGCACTGTGTTACAACAACAATACGAAGTTGCTAGCGGAGTTGCTTTGGGGTCGCTGTGTTGCCTGGCTGTCGTGTTCGGAATGTACAGCAAGCAACTGGGTGCGCTCGCGACTATTTTCGCAGGGATCGCCATCCGCAGTTGGCACACCTACCTGGTTCGGATGATTGTACCCCTTAATGTAATACACTTGCTCTGGGTGGAAACTACTCAAGGGGGAATACACTACATGCATGTACTTATGTTGCCTTCATAACAATGCATCCTCTAGTCTGGAAGGCCTGCGTAGTCGTTGCGCTCTCGCGCCCCGGTTGCT